CCCCCCCCCCCCCAAAGAAGACTAGGCCCATACGCCCATGCTTTGTTTTACACGCCTCTATGCACATGTGGCGAATCTTATTATAGCCATTACGTATATCAAGTAAAAAATCAACCACTTTCCCTTGAAATGCCGTAAGGTCGTAGTTTGTTGGACCCTTTCTGGAATATCCAGTAAAAACCTGTGGTCTTCCCCCATTCGGATGAGATGAAATAGTAATCACATGTCAATTTGGAACATGTTAGACGTCGCCAATACAACTAATGAGCAGAGCTCATACAAGCACAATATCAATGAAAACATTTACCGTTATTTTCCAGTCGTTTGAAAAAGCTGATGTCCAGCGGTCACACTGTGATTGGTGGGAAGATTGATGAGGAGGAGAAGTACATTGCGCCCACAGTCCTTGTTGACGTCACGCCATCTGATCCTGTTATGCAAGAAGAGGTACTGAATAAAGAGTAATGCGCATACGCTGCTCAAACGAGAGTTGAGAAGCGAGAGTTTGCATTAGAGTTAATGAGAGTTGAGAAGCGAGAGTTTGCATTAGAGTTGATGAGAGTTGAGAAGCGAGAGTTTGCATGAGAGTTGAGAAGCGAGAGTTTACATCAGAGTTGATGAGAGTTGAGAAGCGAGAGTTTGCATGAGAGTTGAGAAGCGAGAGTTTGCATCAGAGTTGATGAGAGTTGAGAAGCGAGAGTTTGCATGAGAGTTGAGGAGCGAGAGTTTGCATGAGAGTTGAGAAGCGAGAGTTTGCATGAGAGTTTGCATGAGAGTTGAGAAGTGAGAGTTTGCACGAGAGTTGATGAGAGTTGAGAAGCGAGAGTTTGCATCAGAGTTTTCTCAACTCTCATACCCCGGCCCAAGACCGAACCCTAAGCACGCAAACTAAGCTCAGTTTTTGTTTTCTAGATATTTGGTCCGCTCTTACCAATCATAAATGTGGAAAGTACCGAAGAAGCTATCGACTTCATTAACTGTCGGTAATAAACTCCGTTTAATGAAGTGTGTTCGACAATGATTTGAAAAGTGAAATTGAATTATGGTATTTAAGACGCAGTGAAAATAATAAAGTGGGGCACATTGCCACATAGTGGGTTCATTACAGGTATTTATAACAATTTATTTAACTTTTCTTCTGCAGAGAAAAACCTCTTGCACTCTACGTGTTTGCAAATGATCATAAAACCGTCGATAAATTTGTGGAGGAAACTTCAAGTGGTGCCGTGTGTGCTAACGACACAATGATATATGTCTCAGGTAATCTCTTCATTTTACCACATCTCAGAATACATGATTTCAGCTAGACTAAATTTTGAGCTAGGCAAGAAGTTGTTATCATCTTGTTACAAGGTTGATGACGGTAACAGACTTACCACAAGTTGTTCCAACAAGACTAATACTATACAATTACTTTATGGTTTCCGTGTTTGGATGGCCTGATCCAAACACGCGGGAATGTTGCGAGAGTTAAGAAAAGCGCGCGAAAACACGAGCCGAAGGCGAGTGATTTTGCGCGCTTTTCTTAACTCGAGCAACATTCCCAAGTGTTTGGATCAGGTCATCCTAACAGGGAAACCATAAAGTAATTGTTTTATAAAATAACAACAACACGATAGTCTTCCGTGTTTGGATGGCCTGATCCAAACACGGGTTTCGACCAGTCAGAGCACGCGTTATATACATGTTATTTTATAAAGGCTGTTCGTAACAAGTTGCTACGAACTTGTTGTCATCAACTTTGTTAACAACTTGTTACGGTGCAGACGATATCAGAATTGTTCGAACAACTTGTTGCGAGTCTGTTGGCCTCACCAACCTTGTTACAAGATGATAACAAGTTGTTCCAGACTTGTCAACAACTGGGAACAAGCTGTGCGAACAAATCTTGATGACAAGCTGGGAGATTTACACGCGTGTACACGACATAGAAAATATTGCCTCTTAAATGTTCTTAAAGCAAGATGATAAAAATTCTGAGGTCACTGGCACTTCAATGAATAAGTTAATAAGAATTTTCTAAATGTTTCTAGCTGATCACGTGCCGTTTGGTGGCGTGGGACACAGCGGAACTGGCGCGTACCACGGAAAGACTGGGTTCGAGGAATTTTCACACAAGAAACCAGTGTATGCAACTAAACAGATGATGGAAAGTGTCAACACGTTAGTAGTACTACATAGTCTTCATCATGCCATACCATATTACACCGTACCATATTTACCATACCATATTTACCATACCATATTTACCATACCATATTAAACGGCCATACAATATTAAACCATACCATACCATATTTACCATACCACATTTACCACACCATATTAAACCATACCATATCATACCATATTAAACCACATCATATTAAACCACATATTTACCATACCATATTTACCATACCATATTAAACGGCCATACAATATTAAACCATACCATACCATATTTACCATACCACATTTACCACACCATATTAAACCATACCATATCATACCATATTAAACCACATCATATTAAACCACATATTTACCATACCATATTTACCATACCATATTAAACGGCCATACAATATTAAACCATACCATACCATATTTACCATACCACATTTACCACACCATATTAAACCATACCATATCATACCATATTAAACCACATCATATTAAACCACATATTTACCATACCATATTTACCATACCATATTAAACGGCCATACAATATTAAACCATACCATACCATATTTACCATACCACATTTACCACACCATATTAAACCATACCATATCATACCATATTAAACCACATCATATTAAACCACATATTTACCATACCATATTTACCATACCATATTAAACGGCCATACAATATTAAACCATACCATACCATATTTACCATACCACATTTACCACACCATATTAAACCATACCATATCATACCATATTAAACCACATCATATTAAACCACATATTTACCATACCATATTTACCATACCATATTAAACGGCCATACAATATTAAACCATACCATACCATATTTACCATACCACATTTACCACACCATATTAAACCATATCATACCATATTAAACCACATCATATTAAACCACATATTTACCATACCATATTATACCATACCATATTAAACCATACCATATTAAACCATACCATATTAAACCATACCATATTAAACCATACCATATTAAACCATACCATATTAAACCATACCATATTAAACCATACCATATTAAACCATACCATATTAAACCATACCAATATACCATATTACACCATATTTACCATACTAAATTATATCATACCATATTATATCAGGATTTTGAGAATCTACACTGGATACCACAAATTTGTAGAAAGGAATAGAAAGGTTTTGATGGAAATTATCGAGTGTAAATTTTATACATTTATTAGATCTAACCATGAACAGTTGCAAAAAATGCAACTACAGGCCCTCTACAGGAATTGAACCTGCGGCCCTGCGATGGACTGATCGAGCTGTCCAGTTTAACGTGTTTGGAAATTTCGTTACAGATTGCGTTATCCGCCGTACAACGACACAAATGTCAGCAGAGTTGTTTGGCTAATTGGAAAGTCATTGAAAAGATCGCCCAGTGATATCTTATTTATCCCTTGCTTGCTGCTTGGTTTCCTCTGCAGTTTTGTAATGAAGGTAAGCGATGCAGCCGAGAGTGGAGTTGCACCCACGAGGGACGGTTCACCATGACCAGTTTCCATGACAGGGGTCGTTAACTTTGCGTTCCTGTGACCACACAGATTATTTGAAAATGTGCCTGCAAAATGTCTTCATGCAACATGCGAAATCACGACGTGATGAACCATCAGCCATGAATGGACCTTATAACCAAAATTTTGATCTAGACAAGTCTAGACAAAAATTTCATCACAGCTTGAAAGAGCATCAAAAAATTAGTAATATTCCAAAGTTTCGTTACGAAATGTTGTAAAATGCGGATAATATAGCCCTGCGAAATTTGCAATTTTCAGTAATTTTGTATTACATACGGGAAATTGATACCCCAACACCCGATTAGTAGGCTGACTTATGAGTTATGGCTTTATATATTTTTGCCCCAAGAAATCGAGAATTTTAAGTTCAGAGCCTCGGACTCACAATCATGCATTTGCACCATGCACCGATAGTTGTTCTCAAGAGATTTTAACTTGTCAGTGTCCCTATATGGTAGTAAAATACATAATAAAATCAGTTTATAACTTCCGGTTTCAAAAGTTTTACAAAATGTGCCCGCAAGAAAGTTGTTTTTGAAGTGAGCCTGCGACCGTCGGTCCCAGCGGTCCCCACTTTAATGACCCATGATGGCTAGCCTCGCCATTATTGATTTTGTGATTTTTTGTTCTAGATTATCGGCCTTCCAAGATATTTTCTAAGCTGAGAAGCGTTCAGGAAGATGCGTCCCAAATTTAAGATGGTCAAAACTTATTATTACGGAATTATTACGAGAACCTCTGTAATCAGATGATTTGTAAGGACGAAATCAAGGAAATAAAGCGATCTGTTTTGAAATGATTACTTACTACAGATGATCCTTACTGGACCTCTAGGAAGAACAGTTTAGAACTGATAGAGCTATCTAGTAAAAAATAGTTTAGTTTATTTTCTTCCTATAGTAACACTGGATCAATAAGAGATGATCCTTACTGGACCTCTAGGAAGAACAGTTTAGAACTGAAAGAACTATCCAGTATAAATAAATAAATAATAAGGTATAACAGCGGAAGTTTTTTTCAGTAAACAAAAATTTTAGTTTTCAATATTTTAATTTTGCGTCACTGATTTTCTATGGTAGATATTTTATTTTTACAATTCACATTAATGACATCTATTTGATGATAAATTATCTAGTTTTACAATTTGTGAACTACCAATTAAAGACGAACAAATTTTAAGTTAGTAGATAATTATTATTCATACAAAAACACATATAGGCTGAGCCTCCCCCCGCTCAAGAGGAGAGAAACACCCTAATCCGGGGGTACCATATCTATGGGGGGTACGATAATCGACCTTAATTTATCCCTGTTGAATATAATGCCATTGCGTAACATTTTTCTTCGGTCTTCGAAGCATCTCTTCCCAATGACGTAATCCGTCGCCATCGCAACCGTCGTCTCCGCCAATCAAAACCTCACCAATCACGTGATCACGTTTTATGAAGGAGCCCACCTTATGAACTGCCTGACAATGTAGGCTACAGTCACGAATATCGTCTTTTTGCGCGAGAAATGAAAATTTCTCGTAGAAAAATATTTCGGCTTTTCGTGTCTTCATTTCCGTCTTTTTTGACTGAACTCGTTTGTTCTTACAGAAAAGCGTTATATTTATAAACGTACCTGAAAGATTGGTAAAATAAAGTTAGCTTAGTTTAGGTTTCCTCCTGCAGTAACACTGGATCAATAAGAGATGATCCTTACTGGACCTCTAGGAAGAACAGTTTAGAACTGATAGAGCAATCCAGTATAAATAAAGTTAGTTTAGTTTAGGTTTCCTCCTGTAGTAACACTGGATCAATAAGAGATGATCCTTACTGGACCTCTAGGAAGAACAGTTTAGAACTGATAGAGCTATCCAGTATAAATAAAGTTAGTTTAGGTTTCCTCCTGTAGTAACACTGGATCAATAAGAGACATGTAGAGAGAACAGTTTAGAACTGACAGGACTGTTCAGTATAAACAAGTTCATTTAGTTGCATCATAAAAATCCTGGACTTACCAACACATATAATACCGCTGTTATGAGCCTTTCTGGCGCATATTGAACACGTCAGACCTTTAGCCTTGATAATTGCGACTTTAAGACTCCCTAGCCATGGGTCGTAAGATAGAGAGAGTTGTAGTTCACCAGCGGGAGAATTGATGTGACACTGAAATATATTCACATATACAATCAACCTTCATATAGTAAAGCAACCAATCAGTTGTCAGTCAAACTTTCGTTAAAAAACGTCTACGTGTGCCAGCCTTACACAACTGTCACAAATGTATGTCCAAATAATTAATGATTATATTAATTACAACTTGAGTTGTACTGTGTAAATCAATCACACAACTTGCCTACGTTGTTGTGGGTGAGTTACACGTGTGCTTGATTTACACAGTACAACTCAAGTTGTAAGATACGACTTTTATCTTCGAGTGGTGAAACTGAACAATATTTTACGAACGAGCGCAGCGAGAGGATAAAAGTCATATCTTCAAGCCACGGTGTAATGTTCTGTTTATTGTATAGTCCCAAGCAAAAAATTGTGAAATTTCGCGCTCAAAAAAAATGGAAAAAGTCACGTGATCGATATCTTCTCTAGTGAAGATATGGAAAATATCTCACTGTGTATTTTTCAGTATCTCACTCTCTAATAAAAAGAAATATAGCTGGGGAAATATACGAAGTGAATAAGAAGTTCATAAAACTCGTGCAAGTTGTTCCAGGTGAACAAGCATGAGCTGTATATAAAGAGCCTTTGCCCAAAACACACTGTCGTCATCTTTATAAGAAGTTTTGTATTCTAGTATTAAAGGAGGATGCAACATTTTTAACAAAGCTTGTTTGGTCTAAAATTTCGATAGGTACAAATGATCAGTTATAAGTACGTTATCACGACTATACATTTAATCTGATTTCACCACAGTTATTTTAATAGATGGTTTGGAGACTCGATGAAAGTACAATAAACTCATTAACTATATGTTATTGTCCAGCTTTATGCAAGAATTTGGTCCTATCTCGTCACGTGTGTATTGTATTTTCGCTCAAATAACCAATAACAAGTTTGTGGTTGAGTTATCCATCCGTAACTTGAACAAATGCTCAATTTAAACATTGCTATTGGTTGTGCGGGAAAAAATACAATACACACATGACGAGATAGGCCCAAATTCTTGCATAAACCGAAACCAACATAGTTAATGAGTTATATTGTACTTTCATCGAGTCTCCAAACCATGTATTCTATTAACTGTGATTTCATATACTGGATAATATATGATACTGGATATATTTCGGGAAAACACTCGCATTTGAACGGAAATCGATCTCAACTGATAAGACAATATCCACTTGTAGCAATGTATAGGGGATGACTGGGCATTACGAGTATATATACCCTCATCTGAGCATAACTCATCGTCTCATCCACTCGTTCACATCCATCAGAAGAAGGGAATCGCAGCAAAAATTGGAAGCGTAAACGGGCTTTCAAGTTTTTCCGTATCGTTTTTTTATTTTGAAGATCCGTATAACATGCGAATATATATATATACTGCTTGAATTCGAGATAGCAACACTCGCAAATATAGGCGGAACTCGATATCAATATCCACTTGTAGGGGATGTTACACTGATTTTTCTGTATATATCGACCACTGCACTGGTCGACCGAAGAGTATAACCAAATATATATATATATATAGTTGTTTGTAGATCTCAGGAAAATTTATATTATCCAGGTGTTTTTTTTTCATAGTGTGTGCCATACAGGATAAAGTTTTGTTGAAACGAGGCCAATATGGTGCTCCAACATCATTGAACATTGTTTGACTGATTTTGGAAAATATTGGGTCGGTTCTGACTTTGCTTAAAATTCTCATCCAACAGTTGACAGATTACGCGTGATCATTGGAACACACTCCCCCCCCCCTTCCCCCACCCCCCACACGTTGGACTCGTTTAAACATTCTCGCCAAAAAGTTTTGAAAGTGCTTTGAGCGAAAGAGCAAATTGTCATGGCTGTAAAATGGGGAGATAACTTTTAATTTCACTTCAGCATTCCTCCATTCCGTTCGCTCGTTGTCATAGGGCATTAGGGGTTACGTGATCAAAAGCACGACAAGCATTAGTTTTAACTGACATCAACGTGTCAAAACACTTTCGCGTTGTTTTGCATTGATTGTTTGTTTAAATTTATGAGAAACTTTTAGCAGGTGGGCTGAATTTTAGTTTGACAAAGTACTATGTCTATAAGTTGTAGAAATGTTTGAAAATTATTTTCACATTTTCATCAAATTCGGTCTACGGTCTTGTTTCCATTGATATAATAATAGAGCCACGATCTTTCTCAACGGCCAGTTTATAATAGTTTATACCTGTGAACCACATATAAATGAGAGAGTTGAGAAAACTCTCATGCAAACTCTCGCTTCTCAACTCTCATGCAAACTCTCGCTTCCCAACTCTCATTTTTTGCCCCTGGTATACAAGTGTCAACAATGTAAGTAATCATGTTCTATATTGAAACGGCTACCAAACGATTAATCATATATTATATACCTGCACAGGTGAGAATAAACAACTCCAGTCTTGCTCTGCTGACGCGAAATCACTTCCTTCACCCTTCACCAGAACTCCTAACGGCCACAAATCCTCCCCACCGTCCTTCTTCGAGTTCGTATCTGCCCCATTCTGACCAGGCATCTTTGCCTTCCCGCCATTTTGGTTGCGGGGATAGTTCATGTACTTTAAGTCGCATTTTTCGACCATACTTTGAGACGCTTGTTCATCGAACGGGTTGTCGACGTAGGCTATTCTGCGTTGTTTCAAAAAGTTCGGGGAATGGGCGCCAGAACGAAGTTCGTTTTCATTGAAATCTGCCATATTTTAGCCGGCTTTGATGGCCTTATATACTGCCAAGCAATGTTTAAGCAGTCTATAACGAAGTCTACTTTTATAGCTTTATATAAAGTTTTCTCCCAAGCGCTGTATCTTTTATTTTCGTACGGAATTTTATAATTATAGCTTTAAGATATGTACGCTGATTTCCTAAACCGTAAACGGCTTCCTTCAGTTTGCCAAGACCAGAGCAGTGTAACTTCAATTTTCTATTTGTTCGCTCGAACTACTGTATATATAAAGTTTACTGTTATAATTACACGTAATACAAGCTCCTACTTGTCAGGTTTATTCTGTGAAAACGTCACGAGATGAACCAGGTTTTAAAGCACACTGTCACTCGTTGAGAACTGCTGAATTTTCTTCCGGACTTTACATCTCAAAGGACATCAATTCTGTCTGTCTTCGACGTTGCTTTCGCTTCGACGTTCCGTCTTTCTCTTGCATTTTAACTCGACTTAGAGCATACGACAGCTTTTAAACAAGACTGCTTTTTTATTGTCAATATTGTATGCCCACTTGACTCATTTTGAGCTGAATTTAAATATTTCGTTACTTGAGTGTACACGGATGTGGCCAAAACAGTGAGAGTAATTTGCATAAGTAAAACATATATTATGTTTTATGACAAAGACAAATACGAAATACCGTTCACAAACTGGCAGTGGGGGAATTAAGACATTGTTTGTGGGATTAACTCACAAAAAAGGGAAGTTAACAACACTATGGAAATATGTCCTCATTTTCTTCGGTAGACGTTAGTCGCATACCGTTTTGACTAATTATTCATGTTCTGTTAAAACAATTTATTGCACTTGACTGCGTAACTTGTAAAGTACAGTGCGGTTTATGTTAGTTATTGTTAGTCAAATTTTCCAAAACAATGAAATCATGTATTAGCGTGTAAATTCTCGCAAACTTGACGGAGGTTTCCTAGAGAACGAAGCGATGAAAACCACTTTTCCAAACGATGGGTACATTATCCTTAGTACCAAATTTCCTGTAATTTCTACGCCACGAGTTTAAATCCTCGTTCAAATGCCTTGTCAGTTGTCAGACAAATATGTACATTCAATACATGGCAATTTAACTGCATATTATCTTTAACACGCATGGCAGAGCCTGGAATTAAACCACTTTTTTGTTGAAGAAACAGTAGACATTGATTTTGTGGTTAACTGACAATTATTTTCAACTAATTCTTTAAATCTTCTTTAGTGGGAGTTTTAAACTCGGCAAAAAAATTTTGAACTTTTATCAGCCATTAGTTTTGTGACCTCTGCAGTGAGCCCACTTCCTCAGAAAGCTATTTTTAACTCGTGGGTTTAAGCGTCGGGGTTGGTCAAGATTTCAACTTCGATTCGGACTCCGCGCTTATCGAAACGTTGAGAAGTTTTTTAATGTTTGAAGCAACCGACATGGTGTTAAACAGTGAGTCAGTTCTCTCGAATATTTCTTACAAATCCCTCAAAACTTAGAATTTACCTTTATACAAAACTCCTAATGTGATGCCAGAAACTTTAATAGATCCAAGCGCACATATTCTTAATATGCTAATTTTGTAATGGAACTCCACGTAGGCAAAATGGCTAATGGTTGAAGGCAGCTGTTTCCTTGGCAAATTATATTTGATGTAATAATCAAACTCATTAATTTTGTCGATTCTTAAGCCCCGTTTACACTACGCTCAATTCTTGGTACGACACGGTTAAAATTGGTACCCGTACCACTTTTTTGGTTCTTGGACTACCTATTTAGCTAAGCCCCGTTTACACTACGCTCAATTTTTAGTACCGTACCACTTTTTGGTTCTTGGACTACCTAAATAGGTAGTCCAAGGACCAAAAAAGTGGTACGGGTACCAATTTTATCCGTGCCGTACCAAAAATTGAGCGTAGTGTAAACAGGGCTTTAGAAGGCAAAACGTGCTGCACGTTTTGTACCAATTAACATAAGGAGCCAATCATTTCACTTTTTTTTCTTACGCCAAACATTTGATGTTTTTTTCCTGACTATGCTATATGATCGGCAACTTTTTTTTGAGGGCACGTGTGCGCATTTGAATATATTTCCCAACGACCTGTGAGTAATATCGTGACACGAGGTGTATTAGCTGTTAAACCGCCCACCCCATGGGTGACGTCATTTAGTAAAATTCACACGTGGGCTGCCCACTGAACTACACCATAGGCATAGATATCTTATATACACTAGATAGTGCATCTAATTATTCTACAATTATTCAAATTGAAGCCGTGATTGCAGACTCGGGATATTCCCATGAAATGAGAAGACTCGTATGTTTTCTATTTTTTAAACAGGGAACTTAAATATTAAGGTAAACCTATTCCAAATACATTTTTAAACTATTCAAATGATGAAAGTTAACGTTATAGTTGTTTTTTAAGCGTTTATTAGCAAGTGAGAAACTTCAACATGGCCGCCATCTACTCAAATTGGGGTAACCGCTGGAACATTCTTGGCTTCAATTTTACTAGAAGAGATGCGCTATCTAGTGTATATAAGATATCTATGAACTACACACGCAAAAATCTCACATCTTGTAGCAAGTCTGCCAACAAGCCGTCAACAAGTTGTGTTCGCATTGCTTGTCCCAAGTTGTCAACAGGTATATGAGACAAGCTGTTAACAACTCGTAACAACCTTGTTGATATTATAAAACTTGCTACAAGGTTGTTCCAGTAAGTCCGATACAGTTCATGATATAACAATATTGTTACAACCTTGTGTCGTCAACCTTGTAACATTCTTGCTATATCATGACTGTATCAGACTTGTTAGAAAAACCATGCAACAAGTTTGATAATGCCATCAAGCTTGTTACAAGTTGTTAACAGCTTGTTCCAAACTTGTTCCAACAACTCCACACGTAAAAACGCAAGTCTGCAAACAAGTTGTTACAAATCTATTCACAAGCTGTCGACAAGTTGTGTTCGCACTGTTTGTTCCCAGTTATTGTAACAACTTGTAACAAGCTTGATGGCATTATCAGACTAGTTACAAGGTTGTTCTGACAAGTCTGATACAGTCACGATATAACAAGAATGTTACAAGGTTGACGACACAAGGTTGTAACAATATTGTTATATCACGACTGTATCAAACGTGTTAGAACAACTTTGCTACAAGCCTGATAATGCCATCAAGCTTGTTACAAGTTGTTAACAGTGTGTTAAGCAGTGCGAACACAACTTGTTGACAGCTAGTGAACAGATTTGTAAAGAACGTGTTTGTTGTCCTGTAACAACTTGTGCAAAACGTGTGTAAAAATCGCACAACTTGTCAACAAGATGTGTTCCCAACAGGCTTGTAGCAAGCTTGTCAACACGTTGTAACAATGCTGTTATTTCATCAAGTTGCTACAAGGTTGTCACTCACAACTTGTTGAATTGCAGGACGATAACAAGTTGTTTGAACAACTTGTAACAGGTCTGTTGAGCTCAACAACCTTGTAGCAAGTTGTCAACAACTTATAACAATGCTGTTATTTCACCAAGCTGCTACAAGGTTGTCACTCACAACTTGTTGACAAATTGTTGAATTGTAGGACGATAACAAGTTGTTGGTTGAGCTCAACAACCTTGTAACAAGATGTCAACAAAGCTGTTGACAACTTAACAAGCTGGGAATAAGCAATGCGAACACATCCTGTTGACAAGTTGTTGAAACAGCATTGCTACAAGTCTGCTGCAGTTTATTACAACTTGTACGTTTTTACGTGTGTAGCAAAGTGACCCAAAAATAATTGTCTGTGTAAAATTAAATCTCTCTACATAGCCAAAATAATAAAAGATAAAATAACCTACTTATCAACGTACATGTATATAGCTTATTAAATATATTAAAAACGATTTACAATTCCTTTTAAATGTTCCTTACAAACATTAAACATTTTACTACTATGAAAAAATGCTTGCATATTTAAATATGTATACTTATGTGATTACAAGTTTAATAATAAATATAAATAATTTAGTGTATAACCTGCATATAGTTTAAAACTAGCTACGGAAGGGAATGGGTGAATAGCGGATATTCCTTTCCGGGAGATTTAAGTAAAGTTTACAATAACATTTTCGAGTTCTCAGATATGAATTAGTCATTAGAGTTGAGAATGAGTCTCGTTTCGGCTTCTGGTTATTATATATGTTTTCGGATTAAGTTTAGAATAGGTTTTGGTTATATAAGATTAAGTTTAAGACTTTAAGATTATGATTCTAAGATTAGAAATCCTAACGGCTACTGGCTGGGATTATGTTATTAATTTAGGATTAGATGAGAAAAAAGTTTGGGACAGTATAGGGGAATACCGCGAGTTTGGAGAAGGAAGGGGGGGGGGGGGATGATGAGATAGAGAAGGGCAACTGATCCACACGCCCAAACGACAGGGGTCCACAATTTGATGCAAAAAATTGAACAAGGGGTGAGACCCTTCTCAAGTGGAAAATTGGCGTTCTTGCAGATCCTTTCGCAACTATAGCTCACGGGGAAATGTTAGAGACCGCTCTCGTATATAACACTGGGACCATAGCGCATATTTTGTCACAACTCCTATCAAAATCGTTCTTCTAAAAAGGCTCTGGGAAGCAAGGTTAAGCTATTCTAAAACTTAGAGTGCAAATACTTACAGAAATGTGCAGTGCTGTCTATCAAAGGTGCAAAGTTTCTACACTGGAGTCATCTCATGATCGCTGCTAACTGCTTTATTTTCATGGCTTCTCTCGTACGGAACCGAAGAGTGCATTGATTGAACCTTTGCCGCTTGTTTACTGCGATAAACTAGGAAGGCCATCAATAACGCGATGGCCACAACCAGGAGAGCAACACCGACCACTATGCCAATGATGAGTGAAATATCGTCTTCATCCTTCTCGCCTTGGGCTGAAAATATACAACAAACATTGAAAATAAATAGGTGTTAGCGAAACAGTTTAAAACTGATAAAGCTATCCAGTATAAATAAAGTTGGTTTAGTTTAGGTTTCCTCCTGTAGTAACACTGGATCTACAAGAGATGATCCTTACTGGACCTGTAGCATGAACAGTTTAAAACTGATATACAAAACAAAGTGTAATCGGTGTGCATCCGTGTTCATTCACCGGAAATGAAATATAGAAAACGAAGTGCCATCGGGTGCATTTTTCAGTGTTCATTCACCGGAAATGAAATGTACAAAAGCAAGCTACCGTTGTTTGCATCTACAGTAAGGAGAAACACGTTGGAAAAAAAACACTATTTATTCCTACACAAGGACTTTGATCGGCCAAAAAAACTTTCCCAATTTACGTTTAACGGACAAAACTTGAATATCCACTGAATATCTACTTACCCTGAATATCCACTTACCCTGAATATCCACTGAACACCCTGAATATCCACTTACCCTGAATATCCACTTACCCTGAATATCCATTTACCCTGAATATCCACTGAACACCCTGAATATCCACTTACCCTGAATATCCACTGAACACCCTGAATATCCACTTACCCTTCACTTGCGCGAAATCCAAGGTAGCCGGGTCAACAGCATACTGTCCTAACATGCCATCTGCCATACTGGATCTCAATCCCGCTGCTGGGTCCGTGTTTGAAGCACTGAAAATCATCTTGAGTGTGACTTTCACTTTGCCATTCAAGTCTTGGAAACTCTCAAAAGCAACGCTTTTCATTGAGGAATCATTACTGTAAGCTTTCACTACCTAAGAAATATATGGATTATTATAAAAGTTAGTACTAATTTACTATAACTAATAATTATAGTTATAGATAGGAACGATTACATTTAATCATTTATATTGAACACTAATTGGTAAAACTAATGCAACTACCTAACGAACTAACCAACTAACTAAAAACTATTAACTAATTAATTAACTAACTAATTAACTAATTTACCAACTAACTAACTACCTAACTATATATCAAGCTAGTTAACTAGCTCACTACTTATACAATACAAATACAATAAACTTTATTTGAATTCGAATTTTAGATAGCTATACAATAAGCTAATATCTTCGAATAACTTATTTAGCTAGCTAACAAACTAACTAACTAATAAACTATTGAACTAACTAACTAACTAACTAACTAACTAACTAACTAACTAACTAACTAACTAACTAACTAACTAACTAACTAACTAACTAACTAACTAACTAACTAACTAACTAACTAACTAACTAACTAACTAACTAACTAACTGATTAGCTAACTAGCCAACTAATGATCTAATTAACTGACAGTAAAGCCTAGTTTGATATGGTCGTAACGGTCGTAAAGATTGAGTCACGATTTTTCTCATCAGCCGAAATACAACATTTTAGAACTGAAAATACGTGGACTGATTATAACTAGAGAATACGTATGATTTATATGTGGTTTACAGGTATAAACTATTATAAACTGGCCGTTGAGAAAGATCGTGACCATATTTTTACGACCATATGGAAACCAGGGTTAGAAACTACTGAACAAATTAACTACATCTATTTATTTATATAATAATAAAATGAATAGATAATCAACTTACCTCTGCTATTATGTCATCTTTCAATGCTACAGTTGCTGAATCAGAAATATCACTGTACTTCTCGTCCCAAGTTGTGTTCGATAATACGAAAGATACTTGATATGTCTTGTCTGAAACGCAGAACAACAACACACACAAAATTTAGATGAATTTGAAAGTGTGGTTACAGCGAAAGGTAACCCAAACCAAGCTAACTTTATTTATCAGTACTGGATAACTCTATCTAAACTAAACTAACTTTATTTATACTGGATAGCTCTATCAGTTCTACACTGTTCTTCCTAGAGGTCCAGTAAGGATCATCTCTTATTGATCCAGTGTTACTACAGGGGGAAATCTAAACTAAACTAACTTTATTTATACTGGATAGCTCTATCAATTCTAAACTGTTCTTCCTAAACGTCTAGTAAGAATCGTCTCTTATTGATCCATTGTTACTACAGGAGGAAACCTAAACTAAACTAACTTTAAAATATGGAGATAGCATAGCCAGGTTTAGACATAATTAAAAACATAAAAATTTTAGTCAGAGAACGTTTACGTTTTTAATTAAACTAACTTTGTTTATACTGGATAGCTCTATCAGTTCTAAACTGTTCTTCCTAGAGGTCCAGTAAGGATCAACTCTTATTGATCCAGTGTTACTACAGGAGGAAATCTAAACTAAACTAACTTTATTTATACTGGATAGCTCTATCAGTTCTAAACTGTTCTTCCTAGAAATCCAGCAAGAGTCATCTCTTCATCTCTTATTGATCCAGTGTTACTACAGGAGGAAACCGAAACTAAACTAAACTTAGCCTCCAACGCAGGCGTCGCCTTTAGATTAGCGGGCAAAATTTACTTGTGCGCCTAACTTTATCTATACTAGATAGCTCTATCAGTTCTTCCTAGAGGTCCAGTAAGGATCATATTTTATTGATCCAGTGTCACTCCAGGAGAAAACCTAAACTAAACTAACTTTATTTACACTGGATAAAACTTTCAGCTTTAAAACTGCTCTTCCAAGAAGTCTCTAAATACATACACCATGCCCTACAGCCCCAGCTATATTATGTAGATCAGTGATCTGCCATAATTGTTACCTGCGGACTGGGTACCATTATCCTTAGTGTTGGCCGGTGAAAATGACGTCAGATGAGTACTGGAACATTGAAGCTCTCCTGCAATCACAATCGAAGTAATCCCATCACTTGACCATTTCTGAATGCCTTCGTTATAATAGAAACATTCGAATTTCTGTCCACTGGCTGGGTTCCCTGTTTTGAACTTGAGCTTGAAAGGTTTTGTTAAACCCGTTATGGATTGCTCGTCCCCAGTCTCCGGGTTGTTGATAGAGACGCTCACAATCTGAAATACAAATATTACAAATTCAAAGATATTCACACATGATCTTTATTAAATTTGAGAAGGTTAAACTGTGGTATCACTACACGCTTGCCAGTATAAATAAAGTTTGTTAGGACATCTAGGGAGAACAGTTTAGAACTGATAAGAACTATAAATAAAGTCAGTTTAGTTTAGATTTCCTCCTGTAGTAACACAGGATCAATAAGAGAGATCTTTACTGGACATCTGGGGGAAACAGTTTAGAACTAATATAGTTATCCAGCATACATAAAGTTAGTTTAGTTTAGGTTTTCTCCTGTAGCAACGCTGGATCAATAAGAGATGATCCTTACTGGACCTCTAGCGAGAACAGTTTAGAACTGATAGAGTTATCCAGTATAAATAAAGTTAGTCTAGTTTAGGTTTCCTCCTGTAGTAACATTGGATCAATAAGAGATGATCCTTACTGGACCTCTAGCGAGAATAGTTTAGAACTGATAGAGCTATCCAGTATAAATAAAGTTAGTTTAGTTTAGGTTTCCTCCTGTAGTAACACTGGATCAATAAGAGATGATCGTTATTGGACCTATAGCGAGAACGGTTTAGAACTGATAGTTATACAGCATAAATAAAGTTAGTTTAGTTTAAGATTTAACCAACCTTGTCGGGCAGAATGTTAGGTTTATCGGGAGACTGGTCATTAAAATAATCCTCCTTGTAAGTGATGATTTTTACTTGACATCCCAGGCATATCTTCCCCGGGGAGCATTCTCGTTGTTCACACATACTCGCCATCTCAGACCCGAAGTCCAGCTCGGTTGCATCGCTGCTGTCGTCAGCAGCTACAGCCTCGTCCAGTAAGGTGTGAGCAACTTTAATTTCCACGCTGGGATTGGCTGGTGAGGTGACTACTGCAGATTGACCCAAGTCGACGTCATTCAGTAAGCCGTCGGCAAGAGATTCATAAGTGTTGATTATATCCTGAAAATAATCAGAATGCTCACATTGAAAGACACGCTCAAGTCCAGAGTCACTAAATCTTCAGTCACTAAAGCCCTGGGCAAACTAGGAAACATTGTTGCGAAAACATTGTTTCCTACCAATGTTTCGCCATGTTTCCCAGGGTGGGCAAACACTAGGAAACATTAGTGAGAAACATGGGGAAACATCAAATGTTTCTGAATTTGGTAGGAAACATTTTTGCTTCCCGGGAAGCAAATTTTGTTTCCGCAACAATGTTTCCAAGGGTGGGCAAACATGGAAACATTTGAGGAAACATCGAGAATCACAAATGTTTCCGCAACAATGTTTCCTAGTTTGCCCAGGGCTTAAGTGACTTGGCCTAACTTCGTCTGGGCACTGCAGTTGGCACTCCCATTGTACAAACGCAAAAACGCAGTTCTTACGGATCAGGAAACAAGTCGTTACAAATCTGTTCACAAGCTGTCGACAAGTTGTTCTCGCATTGCTAACAAGCTTGATTGGATTATCAGACTTGTAACAAGGTTGTTCTAACAAGTTTGATACAGTTATGATATAACAAGATTAGGGCCATTTATACGTGACAAAATAAGTCGCGACTTACATAAGACGCGACTTAAATAAGTGGAGTTATCGCATAAATGGTTCTCTACGGCTTTGGTCCTATTTATTTGCTATAGCTATAATGTTGTTTTGTTTGTTTTTGTTTTAATATGCAAGGCATTAAATTTTACGTTGTTTCAAGTTTCTGGCATGTGTAGTTAAATTTTTTGTCTAAAATTTCTTATTTAAGACGCGACTTAAATAAGAACAGCTAAAAGTCCTGTTCTTATGTAAGACGCGTCTTATCCAAGACGCGTCTTACATAAGAATTTTGTACCTTTTATACCACAAACTCGCGTCTTATTTAAGTCGCGTCTTATGTAAGTCGCGTCTTATTTTGTTCCGTATAAATGGCCCTAATGTTACAAGGTTGACGACACAAGGTTGTAACAATATTGTTGTGTCATGACTGTATCGGACTTGTTGGACAACCTTGTAACAAGTCTGATAATATCAACAAGGTTGTTACAAGCTGTTAATAGTTTATAAGTTCTTTGTATGTTTGCATGGCGATAAAACATATAATAGTTTTGTTTGTGGAAACACCACAACTTGGACAAGCAGTACGAACACAACTTGTTGACGGCTTGTTGGCAGACTTGCTACAAGATGTGTACTTGCGTCTCCCTTAGAGGGGCTGTGCACTCCCTCCCCCCCCCCCCTCCTTGGAGTAAGTCCATCCCTGCTCTCCTTACCTTTGATACACTCGCATCATTTTTATGGTTGGCTTTGGCTGAGACTCCAGCTAACCATCCAAGCGTTTCCTTAATGGTATCTTTATCAAGACTTTTGACTGAAGCTTTCACAACTTTATCAAATCCATCCAATAATTCTGATGCTTCTTCAATGTATGCAGACTGAACGTCCAGAAATGTGTCGAAAATGGGCTTGGCTTTCTCTTCGTCCAAGGAAGTGGATTTTACCGCCAATACGAGGGACGTCACCGTCGTGTTTGATACTTTCCTTGCCAAAGATTCTGTGGAATACAGTGATAAAGTTATAGGATAGGAATGGAAAAGAAAAATAAGTTAGCTAGCAGTGGTCGAGGTTTAGAGCTAGACTTGTAAGATTGAAGGAGAAATAAACTAACTTTATTTCTACTGGACGCTATTTCTAGAGTTGAGGGTCTAAAGTTTAGATGCCATTAAACTAAACAAACTTCATTATTCATATTGCGTAGCTTTATCAGTCCGAAACTGTTTTTCTTGGAGGTCCAGTATTGAGTCCATTCGTCCTGTGTTCCCACAAGGAAAGCTAAACTAAACTAAACTAAACTAACTTTACTTTATTTATTTATTTATTTATTTAACTTTGCCTAGTAACATGCAACATTTAACAGTACTGATCAGTGGTACTTATTTACAACAACATATAATATGTGTTCCATTGGCAGGGTGCACGCAACAGTTTTCACCAATTACAGCGGCCCCATGAACTATGCTAGTACTATGCAACAACACAAATCTAATAACAACACGATATTTGACAGGACAGATTACGAGACTTGCTACAAGACAAACATATAGATTTCCATGTCCTTGGATCATCAACGTCAAAAACGTCTTCCAGCGCTAACTTGTAATATTTAGAAAGTCCATTTTTGAATTGTCCTAAACTAATGTTATTGAATTAATGTTACTTGTACTAGATAAATCTCTAAGTGTTAAACTGTTTTCTATAGAGGTCCAGTAAGGATCATCTCTTATTGATCCAGTGTTACTACAGGAGGAAACCTAAACTAAACTAACTTTATTTATACTGGATAGCTCTATCAGTTCTAAACCGTTCTTCCTAGAGGTCCAGTAAGGATCATCTCTTATTGATCCAGTGTTACTACAGGAGGAAACCTAAACTAAACTAACTTTATTTATACTGGATAGTTCTATCAGTTCTAAACTGCTCTTCCTAGAGGTTCAGTAAGGGTCGCCCCTTGTTGGTCTAGTAACACTACAGAAAGAAATAGGAAAAAAGAAAACATTTCCTACCTGACACTTTACTATTCCCTTTCACAAGTTTCAAAAAATTCTTCAGTTTTGGCACAACATCGGAAAAGTCGCCTGTGTCCTCAGCTGATTTCAAGCCTAGTAAACAGAACATTTTGCAGTAATATTAATACCTAGATGTGATGATGATAGTAGTAATGACGATGGTGGCAGTGATATGATGATGATGGTGATGATGGTGGTAATCATGATGGTGATGATGATGATGGTGATGATGGTGGCAGTGATATGATGATGATGGTGATGATGGTGGTAATCATGGTGATGATGATGATGGTGATGATGGTGGTAATCATGGTGATGATGATGATGGTGCTGGTAACGATGGTGATGACGGTAGAGACGGTGGTAGTGATGTGATGGTGGTGGTGATATGATGGTGGTAATGATGGTGATGACGGTAGTGATAATGGTGGTGGTAATTGTGATGGTGATATGTGGTGGTAATCATGGTGATGGTAGTGGTAATGATGATGGTGGTGGTAATGATGATAGTGGTAATGATGATGATGATGATGATGGTGGTGGTGGTGATATGATGGTGGTAATGATGGTGATGACGGTAGTGATAATAGTGGTGGTAATTGTGATGGTGATATGTGATGGTGGTAATCATGGTGATGGTAATGATGATGGTGGTGGTAATGATGATAGTGGTGCTAATGATGATGGTGGTGGTGATATGATGGTGGTAATGATGGTGATGACGGTAGTGATAATGGTGGTGGCAATTATGATGGTGATATGTAATGGTGGTAATCATGGTGATGATGGATATGACGATGATGATAATTATGCATGGTGATCAATATAACAGAATAACAATATAATTTTATTAACCTTCCTCCATCAGGTCCTCAACATGACTCTCATCAATACTAGAAGGCTCATTCACTGTAATGTTTTTATCCATCATTTTCACTGAGCCAAAGAAATCCCTGACCTTCACTCGTAGTGTAAGGATCTTATTTGCTCCATAACCTGGAGGGACTGCAATCTTGTATTCACTGTCGGTTTGAGTTTTCCAGCGTTGGAACACGCCACTGTCGTCAAGGAAACCAAATGCGTATTTGATTGGATAAGCATCTGAGTCTGTAACCCAACGAGGAGCTGAAAGACAAAGTGATACATGTATTTCAATAATCAATAATGAATAAAGAGATCAGAAGATGTGGGGTGATAGACATTACAGAGAAGGTGAGGGAAGCAAGGTTGAGATGGTATAGACACGTAATAAGAAGAGATGAAGGAGAGCTGGTCAGAGACATTATGGAATAAAGAGGTCAGAAGATGATTTGAGGTGGCAGTAGAGGTGGATTTGAGGTGGATGTAGTAGAAATTTCAAAGAAGGTGAGGAAAGCAAGGCTGGTATAGACACGAAATACGAAGAGATAAAGGAGAGCCGATCAGATCAGTTGGTCGACCAAACCTATAAACGGGATGGAATGGACCGGTTAATGTTAAGAGATGAAGGAGATCCAATCAGAGTGCCTTCTCGAGTCACAAGACTGACTTACCTTGCATTGTAACTTCTTGCAATTGTTCCACCGTTGTCGGGCTAACTTCGAAACTTCCAGATGTTGGACCACTTCGTACAGAAACAACCATCGCAGAGCTGCCGACCTTACTACCATCATCGACGTTCAGTTTAAACATGTACGAGGCTCCGGAAGTTAACACGTTACGCTTCAAAACTTTAACTGAAACTGACTTTTTATCACCCCTGTATTCTTCAAACGAGCCGGCGAATAAAGATGCATCGGACAGATTAATGTAGCGGTAATCTAGCAAGAGATTAATGGTTAGCTTTCTTCGTCGAGCAACGGGCGCATCTATTAATCTGTTCTCCATTGAGGTCCAGTAAGGATCATCTTTTATTGGATCCAGTGCTACTACAGGAGGAAACCTAAACTAAACTAACTTTATTTATACTGGTTAGCTCTATCAGTTCTAAACTGTTCTCCCTAGAGGTCCAGTAAGGATCATCTCTTATTGATCCAGTGTTACTACAGGAGGAAACCTAAACTAAACAAACTTTATTTATACTGGATAGCTCTACCAGTTTACAATCGTTCTTCAGAGTCCACAAGGATCATCTCTATTGATCCAGTGTTACCAAGGAGGAACCTAAACTGAACTAACTTTATTTATACTGGATAGCTCTATCAGTTCTAAACTGTTCTCCCTAGAGGTCCAGTAAGGATCATCTCTTATTGATCCAGTGTTACTACAGGAGGAAACCTAAACTAAACTAACTTTATTTATACTGGATAGCTCCATCAGTTCTAAACTGTTCTTCCTGGAAGCCCAGAATAAGTCATCTCTACTGATCCAATGTTACTATACAGGAGGAAACCTAAACTAAACTAACTCTACTTGATAGTTCTGTTAATCCTAAACTATTCCCCACAAAGTAAGGCAACTTTGCATTGCTTCAATGTATTTCCAGGGAAAGACTCTAGAGTTCATTCCAGAGGTCCAGTAAGAATCACCCTTTATTGATCCACTGTTCAACAGCCAAACTTAACTAACTTTGCTTGATAAGTTATGTGGTCGGGTGTAAAGTAGAAGAAAAATTACAGAACAAATCTATTTGTCGTTGGACCTTGAACAGAACCAAACTCAGTTATACACCAAATACCATCAAGCTTCAGCAAATATTTACAGGGTTTAAAAACCTGACGATAGGTAACTTACCATCTTCTTGTTGGCAGACCCACTCCACATTGACAGGTTTAACACTGCTTTTATACGTTGCCTTCAGTTGAACACGATTACTTGCCACAACACGAAGTGTCGGAGTAAGAATTGTTACCGCTGGTGGTTTGCCTGCGACGACTGTCAACACTATACTCGACTGGGCAGATCGAGAGCCTTTGCTCACTTGGGATCTAAATTATTCAAATGATAAGGACTTTAAAAGAATGAAATAAAACAATTTTATTTACCCTGGATAGCTTTATCAGTTATAAACTGATGTTTTTAGAGTTCCAGTACGAGTCATCTCTTATTGATCCAGCGTTACTACAGAAGGAAACCTAAACTAAACTAACTTTATTTATACTGGATAGCTCTATCAGTTCTAAACTGTTCTCCCTAGAGATCCAGTAAGGATCATCTCTTATTGATCTAGTGTTACTACAGCAGGAAACCTAAACTATACTAATTTTATTTATACTGGATAGCTCTATTAGTTCTAAACTGTTCTTCTTAGAGGTCCTGATATCCAAACTTACGTAATAAGGTAACTCTTCTCGGCTTCAAAATGTAGGCTATTTATCTCAATAACACATTGATTAGGAAAGTCAGTCTTCAGTTTTTTGTCCAGATAGGATTGACAAGGCTGACCACTGGATTTATCTTCACATTTCCAGGAGCAATATAAATCACCGCTAGCTTGGTCGGGATCCACTGTGGAAGATTTTGCATCTAGGACCAATTTACCACTGTCACGACCTAGTGTCCTGTCACCTTAAGAGAAAAATGATAATGTTAAACATTATTTATACTGGATAGTTCTATCAGTTCTAAACTGTTCTTTCCAGAGGTCCAGTAAGGACCATCTCTTATTGATCCAGTGTTACTACAGGAGGAAACCTCAACTGAACTAACCTGATTTATACTGGATAGCTCTATCAGTTTTAAACTGTTCTTTCTAGAGGTCCAGTAGGAAGCATCTCTTATTGATCCAGTGTTACTACAGGAGGAAACCTAAACTAAACTAACTTTATTTATACTGGATAGCTCTGTCAGTTCTAAACTGTTCTCCTTAGAGGTCCAGTAAGAATCATCTCTTATTTCTCCAGTGTTACTACAGGAGGAAATCTAAACTAAACTAACTTTATTTATACTAAATACCTCTATCAGTTCTAAACTGTTCTCCCTAGAGGTCCAGTAAGGATATCTCTTATTGATCCAGTGTTACTACAGGAGGAAACCTAACCTAAACTAACTTTATTTATACTGGATATAAAACAACGGTAACTCCGAAAATAATGATGATGAAAATAATAATGATTCCTGATGATGACTGAATCTTAGTCGAAAGCTAGAATATTATTAAAATGTTTATTTTCGGAGTTACCGTTGTTTTATATTTTATTAAAATACTCAGTGGTTCCCGTAATTTTATACTGGATAGCTCTATCAGTTCTAAACTGTTCTTCCTAGAGGTCCCAGTATCATCTCTTATTGATCCAGTGTTACTACAGGAGGAAACCTAAACTAAACTGACTTTATTTATACTGGTTAGCTCTATCAGTTCTAAACTGTTCTTCCTAGAGGTCCAGTAAGAATCATCTCTTATTGATCCAGTGTTACTACAGGAGGAAATCTAAACTAAACTGACTTTATTTATACTGGTTAGCTCTATCAGTTCTAAACTGTTCTTCTGAGAGACCAGGTAAACTGTTTCTCTTATTGGTCTAGTGTTCCGGAGTTCCAAAAGCTCTGATATTTGGTAGACTCAAACTAGAAGCACTCTTCTCACAAGCGAGTGAGGTAAAATTATGCAGTGTAGTAACTGACTACAAATACCTCCAACAATCCCAGGCTGCAACGGGCTCCACTTGACCACAACAGAAGTCCTAACCGTCGTCTTTGTGGAAGGATTCGCTTTCAGAGCCACAACAACAGTGAATTCATAGGTTCTTCCAGCAAGCAATGCATCTGAGTCAACTTTCAGTGCGAATTTCGTAGAAGTTTCTTTATATCCGGTAGTTGCTTCTACCCGAGTTTTTGCAGCCTCGGCACTATCACCCTGGGTACATCTCACGGACCATGCGAAGGTCAGAGCTTTGGTGGACGAGCATGACGCGGCCTGAACAAAGTCAGAACACTGGGTAAGGATCATCTGTTATTGGTTTTGTGTTACTACAGGAGGAAGCCTAAACTGGTCTGACTCTATTTATACTGGATAACTCTATCAGTTCTAAACCGTTCACCCAAGAGGTCCAGTAAGGATCATCTCTTATTAACCAAGTATTACGACAGGAGAAAACCTAAACTAAACTAACTTTATTTAATACTGCATAGCATTATCAGTTCTAAACTGCTTTTCGAGAGGTTCGGTAAGAATCATCCCTTTGATGAAGTGTTACTACTGAACGAAACGAGAGAACGTGAAGAAAACCTGGGGTTTTCAAACTGGAAGCATTCTTCTCACATGTGACTGAGGCGAATTATAACCAGTCTGGTCATAGCCGGGAGAAATGCACATGAAGTATAGACACAAACCATGCGAGTTGTATAAAGATATCAACGAAAAGAACTAAAATACCTTTGCTTTGGCAGTGACGTAAAACGCGTTCATTCCAAAGACTTTTCCTTCACGAGGACCATTAACCGTAACCTCAGGTAGAGGGTCTCGTGCCTTGGTCACTGTCAAGGAATGGTCCATAGCAGTAGAATACAGGAAGTTCTTCACCGCTGGAAAGAAAAGATAAGCATGGACATAAGATATACGAGATGAAAGTTATTGGTCACAGCTAGCCACACTAAACCCCCATGCTTGAAAAATAAACTTACTTAATTTAAATGTGTATGTCGAGCCAGAGGTCATCAAGCTGCCATTAATAAATACTCTAGCTTCGTTTATCGCAGCATTTAGGACTGCGGTAATTTCATCGTTCCCCTGACCCTCCAAACTCCATCCATACTCGAGATTTCTTCCTCCTCCACCTGATGATTGACTGCCGTCCAATGTCAGGTGACCGCATGATGAGATCTGTGCAGGACCTGGATATAAGAATCAGAGATTAGTTGCAGTAAGTTTGCTACAGTAACAACTCTACCTGATGACTGCCTACCAACTACTGTCAGGGTCTCTTTGCTGTTTCAGTTCTCCTACACAAAGAAACCTGCAGAACATGCTAATCGGATTAACGAGCTATCTATCTATCTGTGTAAATGAGTAGTCAACTAATTAATTAGTTAAAGAATTAATTAATTAATTAACTGATTAATTAGTGAAATAATTCATTATGTTTTATTAATTAACTAACCAACCAACCATCTATCTAATTAACTAATTAACTAATTAACTAATTAATTAATCAACTAACAAACTAACTAACTAAATAAGTAGCCAATTAACTAACTAACTAAATGACTAGCCAATTATCTAACTAAATGACTTAACTAGTAGCCTGCAAACCGGCTCTTTGAAATCAAATTTCAAACAGAGTTCAAAGGGAGCCTGTTCGCAGGCTAATTAACTAAGCTAAGTAGCTAACTACCTAATCAACTAACTAACTAGCTAACTAAGTAAGTGACTATAAACTAACTAATTAACTGACTAACTATCTAACTGATTGACAATTAATTAAGTAACAAACTAACTAACTAATTAAATAACTAATTAACTAACTAATCAACAGATTAACTAATTAACTAACTGGCTAACTAATTAACCAATTAACTAATTAACTAAAGAGCCTGGGTACGAGGTTGCTTACCCAGGAGAACAGGCACAGGTTTAACAGGATTATCAGGTGCTCCGATCACAACAGAACCAGTCAAAGCTTTAGAGTGAGTCTCATCTCGTTTTACAGAACCAGTTTTGAAAGTCAGCGAATTAGATGGTACAATAGTAGCATCGACTCCAGGCGCAATAACCAAATGACGAGAGCCTGGCCATTTGCAGTTAGGACTGGTACCCAGTGATGGCAAACCAGTGGAAAAGATGTCTGCACATGTTTTGAGAGATGAAGTGCTAATAGGCTTGTCGAAAACGATGCCGATTAGGGCGCCGGTGGCGCTGAATGCCGAGTTCGTCACAACTGGAGCGACTGCGTAAACTGTACGGGTTAAAGCCACGTCGGATGGTAGCTGTAATAAAATTTAAAAACATCACCACTCGCCATTTTTCATTGCTCCACAGTGTTACAAACTAACTTTATTTATACTGGGAAGCAGGGTGTTAGCCAGGTGGCCGTCCGACCGTCCTATGGATGGCCACTTCTGAATTTGGACGGCTAAATTTTAATGGACGGCCATGGACGGCCTAAGGGAGTATTTTCTTTAAATAGCAACCTACAAGCTTCGTAATATTTCTTGAATACTTCGCACCATATTTTTGTAAAACGCGCCATGTTTTTGTAACCATTTTGTAGATTCTCGCATGAACTATCAAGGAGAATAATGTGACACTGCTGTTTTAAAAAACAGCAATCGCTTTATCGCTCAAGCGCCATGTTACAGTTACAGTAGTGATCATACCATACGTGTGCTTTTACTAATTTAATGACGGAAATGTGCATCTAAAAGTTAAAAGGTTCAACAAATAAAACAGCACAATTCCTCAACAACAGAAAATTGCGACCAAACGCCCAAAAATATGTTGTCACACCCACAAAATTATTTTGGACGGCCACTTTTGAAATCCTGGCTAACACCCTGCTGGGAAGCTCCATTAGCTCTACCACAAGGGAGAACGGTTTAGAACTGATAGAAGCTGCGTTTCCACTATACCAGATAGCTTTCCGTAGTGGCGTGAAAAAGCACCTATCCGATACGGAATGTACAACTTTCAGAAGCTGAACGAAACAACATCTCTCCGTTGCAATAATTCCTCTGAAAATAGCGTTCCTAAGGGAGCGGTCATTATTTA